GTTTGTAAGTGAAGTTACAATGTAAAACAATACTGATGATCTTTTTATTACATATCCTGATTAAGTTGATCAACAAGCTACAAATATCCACACACATCCTAATAGAACCGTTGTTCTTAGTTAGTACTAATGTGTATACGTTTTGTGTTGAATAATTAGTCATAAAATCATATATTTTTTTGCTGAATACAAAACAATCCATTTATGTTTGATTCCATGTGTTTACAAATTAGACAAAACCAAATATTGGCCGTGTGTTCTGATATACAGTATAGATAATAACAAAATACTCCTGAATGGTGCACAGTTTTTCGCATAAATTAAGAAATTATTGTAATAATACCATGATTGAATGTCGCTGATTTGTAATACAAAATATAACTTGGTCATATATTTTAACATTCTTAATTGAAGTGAAAGTTTTGAATAATCGTAATTTATGGATTAATAAATGAGAATCAATTCTTTCTATATTATAGTTATATTATTTTACAATCACTTATTTTGTCTAGGAGTACATATTGTCTGCTTTCTTTGATGTTAGAATACGATTAGGATTTAACTAAATAGTTTTCTAAAATAACAAAAGTAACTCAAGGCGTAACTGAAGAAAAGTTAAAGACAATTATTTGCCCCAAAATGCCCTGATACGGCCGAGAGTGGGGAGAGTCAGCTCTCCCTCTCGAAATGTTCTCACATGGCCACGCGCACACAACCACTGTCAGGGAAGTCCTACTTACTAACTTCTCGCGGCACCACTGTTGTTTACGAAATTGAGAGAACAGAAAGCGAATTTCCGGAGCTTTAACCGAGTTGGTAGATACGGAGGATTCATCTACGGGGGTTGGAAAACCGTGATTCGAAACCAATGGTGCACATGGGCTCCAGTATCCTGAAGGAGCAAATGGCGTATGAACCAATCGTTGGTCACCGGCTACCATGGGACTGCATCTCCCGACGTTGTTCCACCGCCTTGTGGATTTGACTTTTAGGTCAAAGGATCGGGGTGTGGCTCCCTAAGGAAACCACCTGCTTCGGTTTGGGTACAAATGTAGTATCCCAGCTCACACAAATCGGATGATTTATGTGGTGCATATCTATTTGGTGCATCCTTGTACTCATATTTATGCTTAAATAAATAAACGACCAGCTTGACAGAATAATGCAGAAACTCATTGAGTTTCTTAACTTTCACAGGTTTCTACACAATTCTATCAAGCTCACTTGCTCGAATAAACGGTTTTTATCAATAATTTTTCAGAGGGAACCTTGGTAATATTCTGTGTTTAAGTGGTGACACTTTGACGTTAAAACAAATAAATTGTGAAACTACAACACCATTCTTTTCGTATACTCTTTAACTAACACGAGAATATTGGCTTGTTTCAAAACTGAAACTGCTGATTTTATATCTGAGGCCAAGTTATACTTCACTGGGTCATTTAAACCATAATTAGTTTTTTTATTTTTATGAAAATATTTTAAAAACTTTGATTGTATTTCAAGAATTTATATTTAACATAACACCGACTGTGTACTAAAGTATTTGGAATCGATCCCTTATTCTTTAGACTGAAAAACTACTATTATTAGTACTAAGCTTTCTCATTGCTTGTTAGATAGATTGGCTTATGTCCGCAGTTAAAAGTTGGTACATTTTTACAAAGTGTGAGACGATTGAGGCCTATTAAATAATACTAGAATTTTAGTTAAGTGTTCTAACGTTAGCTATTCGTGATGATAACTTGTATGACCTACTAGTGAAGTTTTTCTCCTGCTGATATTGGTGACCAGTTATATTCATATACATATTATAATCATGTTAATAAAAATTAGAATCATCGAAGAGCTAAATATATTCGGCAATATAGAACTCAAGTGATACCGACGTGAAATAAGCCTAAGGCATCCAAAAAACAAAAAAGAATATTTTAAAGGCTACGAAAAATGAATAAATCAGTGCACTGAACTAAACAGGAAATCTGTGTTATTAAAATGAGAGTCCTTAAAACGCAGTCATGGTACATTCTCCCCGTTGGTAAATTATCTTTTTCCAGTACGTATTTAAAATACTGTTTTATGAGTGACTGATACACAAGTTTTCACTTTTTCTAACTTAGCCATTCTATGTAACATTCTACAAGATTGAAGGTTCAAAATAATCATACAGATACTAAGTTATTTTGATTTTGAATTGTAGTCTGTGTAAAAGTGAACTTTATACAGATTATGAAACTATTTCACATAGTAATTAGGACAGTGCGTCAGTGTTACTAGTATCTAAATTTGTTAAAAATATTCAAACATCATAATTGTAAAAACAGTGTTTATATGAACTTATGTCTAGCACGTAGAAAGATACAAGTGATATGTTACACAAAATACTAGATAACCAATGTCACAGCGCATTGCTTAAAGTGAAAAACGAAAAATTGATTAAAGGAATAATGCGTCAACTGTAAAACTATTGGAGTATATCTCTCGTACAAAGAATAGCAATATGTTCTTAAGTATGGGGTTGTGGAGAATGTTAAGTTTCATTGAGATCCTGAACCGAACTAAATTACACCACCAGGAGTCCCATACTACATTTTGATAACAGAACGGCTTAGTTTTCATTCCATACGATGAACTTTTCATAAAGACATTATGTTATCTATAAATACTTTTCTCTACGTAGTCATGATAGATAAGAATATTGCTAAGAAATAAATGGGCTGAACACTATTTTACCCATAAGTCTCAATACTAAAATACTATTATTCATTGCATTTAATACTACATTATTTAGAGATGAATTGCAGTAAGTGACTTACCTGGGTTTTATAATTTTCGACGCTCAGCAACATAGTGTGACTGAAACTTTGCAGGAACTCTAGAATTCTCCCAGATTAAACAAGCATTGGAAACACAAGTAGTAATAAGGTCGTCATTGTCTCCCATCAAGACTGGAATGGCTCAAGAACTTGATCGTCTGAGGGGATTTAGGGATTGCTCGAATAGCATGACGGTGGTATCTTAGTATCGAGGATAACGTAATTATACACGCACAAATTTGTCGGACTAGCTTCGGCTCAGATTTTTATGTAAGGGTCAGTGATAGTATATGGTGGCTTAAAACTATGGCCGCATGACAGCCATCAAGCCAATAAACAGGCGACGCAGATCAATGGCATCATGTCGTTACTTTACACTTCAACAGCAGTTACAAATAAGGAGTTGTAGAATGCTTCACCAGTAATAAAGGACACTTTTCGTTTAATCGCTTTTTCTATTTGTGCTAATTAGTAATTCCGCCGTATATTTCTCTTCCCCTGATTCGGATTCAAAATACGATACCTTTGTGTGTGCTCACTGGATCCTCTAACTTAAATACTGGTTCCTTCGTGAGCAATACGGTAAAAATTTCGGTGCCTTTATAATTTCTAGCTACTAAACTCAACCCGACTACTTTTAATTATCCTATCGAGCCGAGAATATTGTAGCAGTTAGTGTTTAATAATAACTGAATTAGGAAACCAAGATAACTCGTTAAACTACTCACAAGTAGTTTGAATTTCCAAGCAGTTTTTTCCGGCCCGAGTATCACTTATATTGATCTCGTGGGCAGTTCTAGTTAGGCATGAAAATGAATAACTAAAAATTCCAGCGGTTAGTAAGATTAACACATCTGGATAGTATCATGTGAGTTAAGTCATGCATTAACGTATACATCATCCTGTTAAATACTTAAAAATGTTTCAACAAAAAATGTCACAATCACAAGAGTAGTGAACAAAAAATCTATTAACAAACTATCCCTATTACCAAATTTGAAACGAAGTTTATAAAGAAGGGTTTAATTTATATAAACTGTACTCAATACATGCTAAAATGTTTTTGTAAATATGAATTCAATAAACTACAATATTCACTTTTACAAAATGGTAAGTAACGTGTTGCAGGCTGATCTTGCGAGTTCCTAATATATACTTGTGGAGATGAAGATTTAGTACCGGTTACATGAACTAGTGGAACTAAAAGAATTCAATTACTACTGGGGCCTCATTAAACAGATGGCTCATAACCATGTGAAAACTGTACAGGGATTAAACAAAACTATGTAATATCCTGAGGACAGTACTCGTTAACAATCTATCAGGAAAGCAACTATGGGTTGACTGAAAAAATACGTAGTAATCCTGAGATTTGAATGAAGTTTATTGATTGCCAAATACAGTGCGGGCTAACTTATATAAACACTAAATTTGGCAACCGTGTCCATATTATCTGCGAACATTCAGTACAATTCACTATGTAATAACTTGAACGATACGTAAAAACGCAGTCAGAAAGATACAAACTCGGAACCGGCTTTAATCACTCACCGTCGGACCAGGAATTAAAATGTTTAGAACAAATTGTCAAGAGAGGAAGTTACTTCCGACGTTTAGAAGTACAAGGTAAAAATCGTAAAAATGTACAGTTACGAGAACTTTTTGTCTTACATTCTATAAGATAAGCATATAAGTAATATTCTACGAAAAAAACACGATACAAATGACGCAGAAATTACTAAACAAGGTGTTTGGTATCAAATAAACTTCATGAGAATGTAAATACAAATACTTGGTAGCACCCCAAAATATTTGAGCAAATAATAACCACACACGAAAAAATATGCCGCCTAGAATCGATAGAAATTGCAAAAAGTAATTGTATTTGAACTGGTCAACCTCATAAATATTTTCTATGCAAGTCACCTATCTCAACCTGATATGAGATGGTAACGATTTTACGGAACTTAGTGTTGTGCTTATTTTTGAACGGGAAGAGGAGAAATGTCAAGTGTGGATAAAGAGCTAATGCACTATACGTAGATTAGTGATGTTCTATATTTTAGAATAAGGAATTTAAAACCCATTTAGAACTAATTCATTTGGTTAAGCCTTGATTCTGAGGTGTCATTCCCAAAAACAATTTTAAAAATGCTTGTTTATATTGTACGGACAGATTCTGTGCTTGTGAACAGATATTGGTATGAGAAGTAGCGATAAATGGTGGGTACTTTCGACTGGTTGCATTTAATGAGTATAAGCAGCCCATGCAAATGTGTTAAGCACAAGGTGAATTTTATCATATATACAATACAAGGAACGATGAATACAAAGGATTCTAACTATCAATGAAACAAATGTTTATTCCAATGGGAAAAAATGCCCTTCCTAAACACCCAGCGTAACTTGAATTTCAGACTAACAGACAATCAATTTAAAAATTAGAAAACGACTTTTATAAATTTAAATAAAAAACAGAAAATACAAATTAGAAAAGTAAAACGGAAGTGAGAAAACATCACAAAGTTTTATCATAAGACTTTGGGAAAAGCATGAGATTAGAAATGCAACACTAGGATAATTCTAGCTTACGTACAATTAACATCATTATATCTGACAATAACAAAATATCAAGCAGTTGGCAAATTTAAACCATATGAGCTGCCAATATCAGAATCAAGAATTAGAGCACATGAATTAATGCAATAACGAAGACCTGTAGGTTTCGGGCCATCGTCAAACACGTGTCCTAAATGAGCATTGCATCCCTTGCAAGAAACTTCTACACGGACTTCACCTAAAAAATAAATCGAAGACCAAAATGTCTCGTATAATCCATTAAAAGTGATGAATTATTATTGAATATTGGGAATACTGAACAAATCGAAAAACTCACAGCGTTAAAGCGCACATTGCTTTTCTACATATGTCAAAAGAGTTACTAATTACTCAAGTTAACAGCTTGAAACTTACATCATTTGTATACACAATGAAGTATAATTATAAGATCGAGTGTCAGTTAAGGAATTTTGAAACACCAATTTTGTAATACGAAGCCGTCTTGCTGCTCTACACAATATTAGTCTTATGCACCCATATAAAGTTTAATGAATTTAAGACAAACGGGATTTAGAGGACAAGGAAAAGCAAAATCTGACTATTAAAATGTTTGAAAGTCTGTGATAATACTATGTATTTAGTGGTCGGTATTCAAATTATATATTTGAGAACACATCAAGATTACACAAGTTGTGTAATTAGGTTAACTATTTTAATATAGAAATACACCTTATGAACACAAATTCTAGTTTGCCCATCAAATAGTTGTACCTTCATATATATATATATATATATATATATATATATATATATATATATATACTTCCATGAAAGCAACAGGATGAATTTTCATCAATATTCTAAGGACGGTACAGTAAATAAGAAACCTATCATACTTATTATACTTTAAAACAGGACAATCGAAACAGAATATGATCCATCAATTTGTGTGAAGACTCGAGGTGTCGAACTTACACCAAACTACATTAGATGAATTTGGGTTCGTAACAACTTATTGATCGCTGGACTACAGATGAAATAGTGGTGAGCCAGTGATGATGCTAAAAAACCATGCCATTCGTTTAGGATAATTGTAAGAATATAAAGTGAGAATAGGTTTCTTAGTACTTTATTAGACCTAGTATGTCTGTTGAGAATAGAATCAGTAAGCGTTTCGAAACTTGTTGGCGCAAAAATTTTAAAAACTTGTCATTTAGCCTTATTAAGAAGACATAATTACTTTTGAACTTCTTTAACATTTGAACATTTTGCTCAATTACTAATCATTGTCAACAATATTTTTAGGGATGCTTTGGGTACTGATGATGTTCGATTTCCCATGTTTAAAATAACTTAGATATGGAAGTCAGTCAGCTATAACGTAGGGCCAGGTACATATATGCATCGATCTAAGTTGCCACACTTCATTAGAAAGACAAGACGAACACCAAATTCATAGAAGTAGTTACTTTAATGGCAGTAATATAAAAAAGAAAGATTTCACATAAGGATATGATACAGGGAGAACGAATTAGTTCGTAGAAATAAAGGTATAAAACAATTTTAATCTCACGGTTTAACGGAAGACAGAAAGTGTATACACGTACATGGTTGTGATCGGTTATGAGCCATATCACCAAGAGTCTCCAACTATTGGTTACGATAGTCACGCAGACCCCAACCAAGTAGTATGCATCTAACAACACGGCTAAGACCAGAAGTTAGTATCTTCAAGCAATGACTCCACGTTTTGGTTTGGCCGCCTCTAACGCTAGTCATCGTAGTGATCGGTGTTCAGGCATACGTAACACGTGGCCCAATTATCTCAGTCGATGAAGATTCACAACCTCATCAACTGATATACCATCATTCTCTAATACCCTGCGTCTAACCTCACTATTACTTACCCGGTGATCCCAGGAGATACGAGCAATATTTCCAAGTCACCTGTGATCAAATACGAGTATCTTCTACTCTTAATGGCCACGTTTCGCCACTGTAAAGTAAAATGGAATGAACTGTCGCACAGTATACTCGTCCCTTATTTGATAGACGGATATCTTGCTTTCGCCATAAGTGACGCAAATTGGCAAAAGCCAAACGAGCCTTCTGAATCCGCGCAGAGATTTCGTCAGACAACAATCCATTAATGCTGATCAGACTTCCCAGAAAAGTGAAGTTGTCAACACGTTCGACTACTTCACTCCCTATCCTTAGTTCAGGTGTTGACATAGGCTATTACACAAGTTGTCTCGATAAACAAAAATGAAATGAATTACCTAGTACATACCTGATGACAAATCAATGGATGAGGTCAATGAGTTACACTCTATAGGACTGTTAAAAGTGGGCCAGCCACAACTACAGAAGAATTTCGCTTCACTGCTAAACAGTTTTGAACTACAGACAACACATCTATATATTCCAGGTGATTTCTCATTTACATATTTCCCTGAAAAAGGTCTAAAACAATAAGATAAATCAATAAAGCATACTTTTCCGTTTCTTTATTTTGTGTTACACGGAATTCCAGGTCACTCAGTCTGGCCTTCAAAGCATCTCGAGAAAATGCAGATTCATTATTTGCGTCTTCATTACACCTGAAACAACTACTTTCTTTTAACAAGGCTTGGATTCTTGGTGAAAGAGTGTCCATTTGTTTAACCATCTGCAATACATTCATCCTAAAATCAAAATAAGCACTTTCATTTCGGGTGTAATCCACTTTTATTGAATAACTTTATGGATTAATTTCATATTTTTGTGATAATTAAACACTATAGGTAACCACTTTGTAATGCACGAATAGTTGAACACACATGACAAGAGATGCAACTTTGCGGTTATTTTCATAAACAAAATTAGTCTACTTACCATGACCTCTATCCCATATGAGTCTATTTTTCATGAGATAGAAATATATACTATCAATCAATCCAGTGAAAAGTTTGAACAGCTTATCCAACATAAATTTAAAAACTTATGATCTTGCTATCATAATAAAACCATTAACTTCAATTATATTGACAGTCAGTCAGTCAGTAACAACGTAGAACTTCGTACGTACGTACATCAGTTCGAGTTGCCACACCACATTAGCACAGCGATGCACTTATCGATTCAAATCCCGTAGTGGTAGAGGTAATAAGAGTATAAGCAGTAATCGGGAAGATTAGGGTTTGGAAATGTTATTTAAAGAGTATAATCCAGTGAAATAAATTTGGAAAGAGGAAAAAAGGGACATGAAGAATTCAGAAGATTAGAATTTGGGAGAACACAGAGAGTGGATGCACCTGCGCCATTGCAAACGATTTTGAGCCATGTTATTCAGGGTCTCTAACCATCGGTTGCTGTCATCTCGCGGTCCCCAACCAGGTAGTCTACACCTACCATCATGGCTCAGTTCACTTGTCAGTGACTTCATGGACTTGTGCCATGTTTTGGTTTGGTCGCCCCTAGATTTCTTCCAACCTACTCCCATACCACTGAACATAGCACGTCGAGGCAGTCGGTCGTTGGGCATACGTAACACGTGTCCCAGCCATCTCAACTGATGAAGTTTCACTACTTCATCAATTGATTTGCCATCCTTACCTAGTACCCGTTTCCTAACAACTGTGTTACTTACTCGATGGTCCCATGATATACGAGCAATGTTTCGAAGACACCTATGATCAAATACTAGTAACCTACGGATATCCTCTACTCTTACCGGCCATGTTTCACTGCCATAAAGTAGGACGAAACGAACTGCTGCGCAGTAAACACGTCCTTTGGTTGACAGACGGATATGTTGACAACCTCAGCAGAATCGTTACTGTGAAAACTTGCCAGAAATGTATGATAGTCACAGAACTTTTATGTTAATGGGAACTAGGCAAGCACTTAAAAACCGAAATCTGACATTAGATAAAATGCCACATGTGTTGTAGTTTATAGCTAAACAAGCAAACATTTAAATAATTTACATTAGATTGCTCCCATACTTTCCAACATAGTACAGTAAACCGACACTTGAAATTTCACTTCAACAAGGAGAAACTGTTATGAAACCTCACAAACTACAGATTAACATGCAACAGTATTTATAAGTCATGCAATACTATATAAGGTGATAATAAAGGACAATCTCCCGTGGAAGGGGAGGGTTTCTTGGGTACACGTCGCCTCTGAAGTTCAATTTCAATTTTAGTTTGGAAGGGATAAGATTATATGCCACAAGTGGAAGGTGGAGCTGAACGCTTGATACACACATTAAAATGAGAAATTTATCACCAAATTGAAGTTGAATTGGCCACACAACTAGTTAGTTTTCTGTTTGTGTAAGAATATACCGTGGCTGTAGTTAGTCATACACCAGGGGACACTACTGAAGTAAGAATATTTCGAACCATCATGTGTAACCCGTCAGACAGAAAAGCATTGGTCAATGAGTGCGGGTTTGAGCCTCGATTCATCCATATTGCTCACTCGAACAGTTAGCTAAACTAGCGCTGATACTAGGTATGAATCAAAGCCAAGTCAAAAAATATGTACTAGGCTGCCAATACCGAAGACATTTTACGGCAATTAACCAGACAAGAAAGGCGCAATAAGTGTAAACTTGAGGGAAATATAAGCGACATCGCCCAAGAGAAATTTGTGTGAATTTAGGTTACATTAAACCTATGGATCTCATCTTTGCCTTTTAAGAGGGCATATTGAGACATCTCTTGTGCGTCCCGAAATTCACACTTTAAAGGTTGTCAAATAGTGTTGCAATACTAGCGGACAATTGGTGAGCACTATGCTTATTTTGGGGTTTTATTCTGAAACCTCGAGTGAATTTGAAGAAATCATCAATACTCCAATTGGTCTAGGGTTCTTTCCTCAAATTTTCCTAAAATCTGGAGAAAACTAGTCGCTTTTAAAAAGCCTCGGGCGATTGTGGATGACTTTAGCTGAAGGCATCTAAAATTAATTTGGACCAAGGTATATAAAAAACAAGCAGATATAGAAGTCCTGACAAATAAACATAAAATATCATTTCGATACATCTGGAATATATCGGGTTTCGAGGACGTTACCTGATTTACGCTTTAGGGCGTAGAAAGTTCTAGGGCTTTAGTAATTTCAGGGAAAATATAATCTGCTTGCGACTAACCTCCAAGTCAAATCTGCCCTTACGACCTTGAGTTGCTTTGTTCAAGGCAGCATTCCAGTTTCAGTTTCAGTTTGGGAAGGACAGGAGGCTCGATGGCCTATGTTAGTCCTGGCAATGGTGGTCTCTCAGTCGATCCAACTTTCTTTTGAAAGAGTCGACGGATGGAGCCTCAACCACGTGCTGAGGTAGTGAATTCCACTCGTTGATGATTCGATGGGAAAGTCGATAGTCAGCAGACATGTAATTTGTTCTCGGCTTATGAACTTTTTTGGAGTGTCCACGTAAATTCTCTGTTTTGGAAGACAAGAAAAATGAGGGCATGTTAGGTGCAAATTTATCACTAAGCAATTTGTAGACGCCTCTAGTTCTGCGATATGACAACGGGAAAAGGTTCAGCTTGGCCAGTCGAGATTCATACGGAAGCTTCGCTATTCCGGGAACCAGCTTAGTCGCCGTTCTCTGAACCTTTTCCAGAAGCTCACTGTCTTTCTTAAAGCAGGGGCTAGCCGCTTGTATGCAGTACTCAAGTTTAGGACGAACGAACACTGTATACAAAGTCAAAAACGTCTTAGTGTCGACATGACTAAAAGCCCTACGTATTGACCATGACGTTCTAAAACTTTTGTCGGCTATTGCACGGCAGTGTGCAGTAGTCTTTAAGTCTTGACTAACGATAACTCCTAAGTCATTATATGTCTGGACGACAGGTAGCTCAGTGTTATTAATCGTGTATGTATCTGTGCCTTGATGACCGATATGCATCACAACACACTTGGAAGTATTTATCGGCAACTGCCAGGTTTGAGACCATTCAGATAACTTCTTCAGGTTATTTTGAAGTTCTAAGCTATCACTCTTACATCGTATCGTTTTCCATATCTTGACATCGTCAGCATATAGCAAGACCGATGATGATAGGAGACAAGGAAGGTCATTTACATACAAGAGGAATAGCACTGGCCCCAAAACTGTACCCTGGGGCACTCCACTAAGCATAGTTTTCCAGCTAGATAACTTTGAGTTCACCCTTACTCTTTGTTGACGCCCAACTAAGAAATCTTTTATCCACATCAATAAATTGCCCCCGATCCCGACTTTTCTTAACTTATATAACAGCCGGTTGTGCTGAACTTTGTCAAAAGCTTTACTGAAATCAATGAAGGCGACGTCTACAGGTAGCTTTTGGTCCTTAAGAGCGCACCAGCTTTCACGAGCCACTAATAAGTTAGTGAGACAAGAATAACCTATTCTGAAGCCATGCTGCTTCTCCGAGAGGATCCGGTTTTTATTGAGATACTCAAACAGCTCCTTCCGAATAATCTTTTCTAAGATTTTAACAACCACACTAGTTAGGCTAACGGGGCGGTAGTTCTCAGGTTTGTGTTTCGTACCTGTTTTGAATACAGGACTTACTATTGCGTTTTTCCAGTCTTTTGATAAACGACCCTGCGTAACGGATAGGTTAAAGCATGTACTTAAAGGGCTTGCAACGAAGTTAGATAATTTCTTCAGTAGCCTATGATGTAATTCATCGGGCCCCGTGAATTTACTTACGTCAAGCTTATTTAGCAGACCAAAGACATCGAGTTCTTTAATGGTCACGCTATCCAGTGTACGTATGGGGGATCTGTATACGCTGACGGGAAGGGCGCTTCTATGGTATATACGTTGCTAAAGTAATTTGAGAACACTTGAGCCTTACTTGAGTCTTCCACTAATGATGAAACAATACTGTCTCCCCATAGAGCAGGAATATTTCCTTTTCTCCCTGTCCTTTGATTTATATAGGAATACAAGCGTTTAGGACATTCTACGGAGTCCTTAGCAAGTTTTCCTTTGTACAATTTTCTAGACTTACGGAGGGTCGAGGCACAAGTGTTCCGAGCCTTTCGATACTGAGATTTTGACTCATCAGTCTCCAGTAACCTAAATCTATCCCACGTTTTCCTTTTCTTACTGAGAAGGATACGGACCTCCCTACTGAACCATGGTGGTGAGTTTTTCGGCCCCTTTGGTATAGTCCAAGGGATGTGAGGTGTGGTAACTTTTAAGTATGATTTTCGAAATGCGTTCCAGGCCGTTTCAATGGAGGACTCTGAGTTTATTGTCCAATCTATCAACGATGCTGAGTGCATGATGTCTGGTATGTTTGCTTTCCAGACGTTGGGTCTGGACTGGACTGACGCGTCCTCATGACTGGCAGTTATATGGAAGTAGAAAGTTAAAACTGCGTGGTCACTTTTACCTAAGGGTGGCATATGGTGGAGGTTCGCTACATCATCCTCATAGTGAGTCAGTATAAGATCTAATAAGGATGATTCAGTGTCCGGGTCGTACCTAGTCGCTTCTTTCACATGTTGCACTAGAGCACATGTGATAACCGCATCAACTAGTTCCTGCTCGAAGGAATTTTCCGACGATTCAGTTCGCAGATTTTCCCAGTCTACCATAGGTGCATTAAAGTCCCCTAGGATTAGACATCGACCACTTTGGGACCAAGTATTGAGACTGCTTAACAGGATCTCATTTGCCTCACAGCTTGGACTGCGATAGAACAAACCAATCAGCAGCTCTTGTCCCTTGCATTTTAAGCGAAGACTAACTAATTCACACGTCCCACTCTCATGGGATAAACTATCGATAATGGTAAATGGGATAGCATTCCTAATGAATAGAGCTACTCCCCCTCCTTTGCGCTTTTGTGTTCTGTCGGCCATTACTAACGTAAAGCCCTCGAAATCAAGTTCTATACTATCTATAGCCTGTGTCAGCCAGGTTTCTGTTACTGCGATTATATCTGGCTCTATAGAGTCAATCTGTACACCTAGTTCCGATCGCTTATTAAGTAAGCTTCGTGCATTGTTGTAACAGATCCGAAGCCTGTTTAAGTGCCTTCGTGCTTCACCCAGAGTGGCTTCGGCATCATTCTCTGTCGAAGTCTTACAACCCGAAAATTTACAATTTTCAGGTCTGAAATATTGGGGGTTGGTTGAGCATATGTTATCTTGGATAAGTTCGTGGTTTTTGCATATTTAAATAGTCTAGTGACGTTTGTGAACTTAGAAAATATAACTTTTTCAGTACAAATATTGCATTTGTTTTTGTATAATTATCCACTAAAAAGCTGCCGTTGTTCACGCTCTTTTGAAGACCGAATTAGACTCCAAAAATAACTTAATATCAGTAAATACACTGATATGCAATTCTGGGGACTGTTTATTTACGTTGGAAGGAAAATGTCAATGTCTTTTGGTCAAGCTTCTAACTAACAAAATATTCCGGTTGATGTAAGTAAATGGATTAGACCTCTGGTGCTGGAGAACTTTTCCTGTTTCAGGATGATTTTCAGGAGGCATATGATGAATTTAAACATATAATATAAGCGCAATTTTATTGCTTTATAGACTACTCACACTCACTGTACGCAAATTTGGGAATAACAAATGACTTCAAACGAATCCTCAATACATTTGTAGGTGTCATTACCAAGGTTTGATTTGATAATTTCGAATAAATTCAGCATTGCGTTGATTGTTATAAATAAAAATAATATATTTGTAATATCCCAATGAGTAGAAAATTGGATTTTTCTGACGTTTCGTGGCTTAGTGTAAGTCACTTCTTCAGAAAATAAATAACCAAATTAAATTAATCTAAGTTTAAACAGTACAACGGAACAATGCAAGAATAATATTTGATCAATCAAAAACAGGTCTGAACAAGTTGATGTCATGTCATTTCTGTCAAGGTGATTCATAAGTGATAAGTATGTAAATTTGTGTGTGTATGTATGTGTGCATTGTTTAAGAATGAACACTTGTGTGACCTATATGGTAAGAATGGATAGAGTTTAAATTTGTAATATGAAAGTGTGAAATTGTAAATACGATCAGACTGAACGGTTAGGATAGATGGTCCAAGTAGGATGTATGGTAAGGCCTTCTTTTCTATTGAGAGAAGTAGGATTAAGCATTATATGGAACGCCTCGGCTACCCTTCTTTCTTTGTAGTTGGAAAAGCCTTTTTGCAATATTTTGATATTTTTAAAATCGATTTGGTGGTTGTTGAAAATGGCATGAGCTGCTATTGCCGATTTAATTTGAAGTTGGTTCAATTTTACCGGATTGTCTGTGATATTCATATTAGAGAAGACAATAGAGCAGTTTTCAAGGGAGAACCGTACACATATTTTGTAGAGAGTAAGTTTAGCCTCTGTTGTGAAAAAATTTCTCATTATTAAACCAATTAGCCGTCTAGATTTAGAAATAATAGAGGAGGCATGTTCTTCAAAGTTCAGGCTTCCTGTGTAATTAATTCCTAAATCGTGTACTGACTCGAGTGTTTGGACTCTACATTCATTTAAGTGAAGTCGCGGTTTATAGGGATGCTTTCCAAAGTGCATGATCCCGCACTTGTTGAGGTTAAATGGTAATTGCCATTTTTCACTCCAGATAGTTGAGTTATTTGGGTCCTTTTGGATCTGGGATACACTTTCGCTTAATGTCTCAGGCTTATAGCTGTATACTATTTTGAGATCATCAGCATATAAGTATGATTTCCCAAATTCTATGGTGTTACATATATCATTTATATACATAATAAACAAACATGGACCTAGTACGCTTCCCTGGATAACTCCACTGGTGATTGGTCTAGGGGACGAGAGACAGTCGTTATACTTTACCATCTGTTTACGTAACTCCGCCTGTAGCTCTTATAGGGTTACTGCCGGTCACAAGCCCGGGTAAAGGAGGAGGGTTGGGCATCGGGTTAGCGTCCCCATCCCGTAGAAAACTAACTCGCTAAAAAAACGCTTACCAGAAAAAATAATCCAAACCATTTTAACTCTGCTCTGGGAGTTAGAAGGTCTTCATTTAGAAGAATTATGACGCTTCATGGTGAAAGCCGAGTTCCTTCGGCAGCCACGAGGCCGATGTCCTTTCTAACAACCAGAGCAAAAATTTTTATAGGTACATGGAACGTTCGAACAATGTGAGAAACCGGGAAGACCTGTCAAATATCAATGGAAATGAGGAGATACAA